TAACCGTCTTAGTATCTTGACTGTAAACCAGGTTTTAACATCTGCAGTGAGTACAGCGCAGATAACCCATCTTGTATCTGCTGTAAACCAGGTTTTAACATCTGCAGTGAGTACAGCGCAGATAACCCATCTTGTTTAACTACAAAACAAACAAATAAATGATTTCTATAATTTTTAACCCATACATTTTCTTATAAAACTTATTTGCTTTGTTCCAAACCTATTTATGAAATAAGGAACTATTTAAATATTTCTTCAAAGCGTTACTCATATTTTATTTAACATCATCCATACTTTTTCTATTATAACTGAAAAAAAAAAGTTTCTCTTCTAAATAAATTATCTTGTTATAAGTTTGTTTTTATTGGAAGATCTTAGTTCCAGTTTTTACAAGTGTGTTATTATCTATCCACATCTCCAATCCTCATCTTGTAACATTTTGATTTTATGTATTCTACACCTCCAATCCTCAACTTGTAAGGTTTTGTTATTATGTATTCTATACCCCACTCCCCATTTTGTAAGATTTTAGTTATTATGTATCCTATACCCCATTCCCCATTTTGTAAGCTTTTGCTATTATCTTTTCTACACCTTCAATCTTTATCTTGTAATATTTTGTTATCATATATTCTATATCTCCAGTCCTCATCTTGTAACATTTTGATTTTATGTATCCTAAACCTTCAATCCTTAACTTTTAAGGTTTTGTTATCATATATTCTACACCTCCAAACCTCAACTTATAAGATATTGTTATCTGTTCTACATCTCTCATCATAATATTGTAAAGTTTATTATCCATTACTTTACACCTCCAATTGCCAACTAGTAAAATATCATTATTACCTATCCCAAACCTCCAATTTCCAACTAGTAAAATTTCGTTATAACCTATCCCAAACCTCCAATTGCCAACTAGTAAAATATCATTATTACCTATCCCAAACCTCCAATTTCCAACTAGTAAAATATCATTATTACCTATCCCAAACCTCCAATTGCCAACTAGTAAAATATCATTATTACCTATCCCAAACCTCCAATTGCCAACTAGTAAAATATCATTATCACCTATCCCAAACCTCCAATTGCCAACTAGTAAAATATCATTATTACCTATCCCAAACCTCCAATTGCCAACTAGTAAAATTTCGTTATAACCTATCCCAAACCTCCAATTGCCAACTAGTAAAATATCATTATTACCTATCCCAAACCTCCAATTGCCAATAGTAAAATATCATTATTACCTATCCCAAACCTCCAACTGCCAACTAGTAAAATCGTTATAACCTGTCCCACACCTCCAATAGTCATCTTGTAAGATTTTATTTCTTAATATTAGCCTCAATGTACATTTAGTTCTATCCTGTGACATTTTCTTCCTTTTTTTTATCAGCTCCAATTCCCAAATAACGAGACTTTGCTACTTCCTGTTTCAGTGATCCAGTTCTCAACTCATAAGGTTTTACTATAATTCTGTCCATAGTTCAAGCCCTCATGCATCTTATAAGATTTATTGTTTCTTCCACAGCCTCGACGACAGTAGTTCTATCAGTAGTGGTCTTAGTGACGCTATTGCTGACATAAGTACAGATGATAACTTGACGGGATCCTCACTGAGTTCAGAAACCAATCAGTATGGCAGTTTGAAACGAACATCGCGAGATGGAGCCAATAAATATTCTCTTTCTAACGAGAACAAGAACAGAAGAGTATGGGATGAACATGTTCATGGTGTGTCTGCACCTGCAAGATCATCTAGTGGCAGGTCTGGAAACGTGGAGAAAACGGACAGCTCAATGCAGACAGAATCTAGTGCCTTCCACCAAATGTCATCAGCTGTGTGGAAGAAGTACCTCCAACAACAACAGCACGCGCGAGCAGGCAAGACTGAATCTGAAGCACGCTATAAAGACAATAAAAATTGTTCTGTGTCTGCCAATGAAAAGAAGAGTAGTAGTGTAAACGAAGGTCAGAAATCTAAACATAAAACCCTGGGACAGAAAACAGAAGATGGGAAGTACCAAGATTTTGATCCCCGAATTGAAAAGAGTTCACGAAATGGAAGAAGTACTAGTCCAAAGCTTAGTAAGATGAACTCAGACTCCGTAAACCAGATGGGTCAACCAGCGCGTGACCTTCGAAAAGCTCAAGGATCTAGAGCAGTTATAATGGGGAACAGCACAAGTTATGAAGTAGGTAAAAGACCATCTAGTATATCAAGTGTGTCATCGAATGGCAGTAGCAAAACAGGAAGCTCTAAAACACACAGTAATTCCAGAAAAGAAAAGTCAGAAGAAACGAAAAACAACGATATTTATCACGTGGAATCTCTGGACATCAACCATGTCCAGTCATCAAGTCTACCTAGGAATGTGTCTACAGCGTCTTCTAGTGGTAAAAGCATCTACGACCGCAGAGAAAAGATCAAAGTGTCTACTAATACTCAGACAAACACTCATGAAATGCATGTTTTTGGCGGTTCAACGGCCCTTTCTGACAGTGAATATAGCTCGTTAGGGCGAAAGTCATCTAAACAGTGTTCTCTGATGTCACCGACTGTTGGAGGACTCCGGGAACGCGTTTACGGAACCCGTTCTCTCATTAATGGCTCGTCAAACTCAGACTACGTAATTCTCTCTGGTTTCCCCCCTCGAGAACGCTCGATTCATCCAAGACTGTCTACATCAAGTAGGCCTAACGATGGAGACATGGGAAATTATGCTAACATTGAACATCTGGGCATTAGCAGTTCTCTTCCGTCATCCAATTCTAGCACCTATGCCTGGCTACGTTACAGTGGCAGTTCAGGTGCTTCAGTAATCTCAGGAACAGGGAATAGAAGTTGCAGTGGAGGTGGGCTTACTGAGGCAGAGAGTATGGAATCTTTATCTTCAACTTCTTCGAGTGTACATGCTCAGGTAATGAACTATATTATCATTATTATTTTTTACTTTAAAACTCTATTCAGAATTCTACTTTTTTCCCCATGTTATCTTTTATTATCTACTTTGTTTATCAAGTGTCATTCACGTTAGTCCGAATTTGGCCGATCGAACTGGAATCCAATAATATTGCGCTTGAGACGTGGTGCTACCAAACACGCCTCGCAATTTCAGCTGGAAGAGTGACAGTCAATACTGACGACTGGTTGCCTTCCCTTTGGACCATATTTCAAAATTATGGGCAGCTATGCCTGAACCACAGAGGTCTTTGATCTGGCAGTGTGTTTAGGATGTGGTTCAGGTGAATAACCAAGGAAACTCACCCATGATATAAGAAATTTAATATTGAGAGATGAAGAATTAACAGTATATTACGTTGTAGCTAAGTATAAGTTTAAGATTTAGTTAATATCTTACAAATTTATAAAATAACAAACACTGTTGTGACTCGCTTTATCTGCTAGTTAACCAAATCTTGAAATTCGAGTTATAAAAACATATAATTTTTCTTAATTAAAAGTTTATTTGGGACTGTGTAGTTTTGAAAGTGATTGAATCACGTAGATGATATAATTAGCAATGATATGTATTAATAAAAATTTTCAACCCGAACGACCTAAGGCACATGGGCTAAACGACCAAATCAGCAACCCTGGGGCTCTGAATAGCTGTCCCTTATTTTGAACATCACAATAGAGGAAAGATGGCCAACCAGCAGCACTCATCGTCACCAAGTGCTTTAACAGTCACTTTGAACTAAATAATATGATTGACTGCTACTTTCATAACGCAGCTATAGCTGAAACTGGGGAGCATGTTCCACGAAATCTTGTCTCGAGCCCTGGACTCTCGATCCGCTGCCCAACAAACTAATCATGTTATATTAGTATTATGCGCCACTTTATGATGTCACATTAATTTTGGCACTTTGGTAAAACCTAATAATATTTGATCTAAGTTACCTTAATTTTGAGCTGTTAATGATGCGGCAGCACTTGTACCTGTTTATAATATTTTTTTTGTGTGTGTGGAAGAAAGCCTTAAAGACTGGTAAATGTTTTTCTATTCTGAGAAAAAGTTATTGCAAAAATTGGCTATTTAATTATTATTTCATCATGATTTAGGCGTGAATTTATTACTCATTAAACTGATACCAAGTCCAGCCAGATGCTGGTAACATTCCGGTGTACAGCAGAGGCTAAAACAAAGCTGAAATCGAAAGCAAGGTGCAACCATTTCTTAGCATGGTGAGTAAATTGAGCAATGACAGGAATGCACATCAGTCCTGCCAAAGCCATTGTCTTGTTCTGCTCACTTAACAACAGACATGCTGATGGGGACAAAACATTACCATCCTTTGCAACCAATTCCATCTTTTTGGAAGAAACAATGAAGTACCTGAGGGTAACATTTGACAGACCATGATTACCGGAGATACTAAAGGCATCATTGCACTGAAAGTTGCAGTAAGAAATAGAGCTGAAAAATGTCACCTGCTTATATTCTACCAAAGTTTTTATCTCCTTCATCCTGGATTGTACATTACTGATGATCAGTATGAGTGCTACACAAGTAGTTAAGATTGAAAAGATACAAAATACCTGTTACACCTCACATACCTCAATAGTATCGCACAACACCAACAGCGTTACAAACAAAATTATTTACTAAGGCCTTGCAGTATAAAGACCGTGCTTTCTATCATCGAGCCATTGCATTTTTCAGTTGGGACATTTCAGCTCCACAACGAAATTATAGACACCAACCAAGAAGAGAATAGACCAAAAGGTGCAGCAGAAGACATTTATGAGTGAAAGGGACTATACAGTTAATATTGTGATAATTTGTCACTACTAGGTCTCAAAGTTCCCCCATGTGGAATGAAAATTTGGTGCCACTAAGATCTACTTAGACCGAAAATGTAGAGATTTGGCAGAGAATGGAGTAGAATAAGCCTATTAGCACCTAGTTAAATACTATAGTGAACAGTCACCTGTCATTCTAGCCACAGGTGGTTCCTAACACCAATAGCCAGGCATGGCCAGGTGTTTAGGGCGCTTGACTCGCAATCTGAGGGTCGCGTGTTCGAATATCTATCCCAACAAACATCCTCGCCCTTTCAGCTGTGAGGGCGTTATAATGTGACGGTCAATCCCACTATTCGTTGGTAAAAGAGTAGCCGAAGAGTTGGCGGTGGGTGGCGATGACTAGCTGCCTTCCCTCTAGTCTTTCATTGCTAAATTAGGGACGGCTAGCGCAGATAGCCCTCGTGTAGCTTTACGCGAAATTTAAAACAAACTAAACCAATCCTAACATCATAGATAGCGAAAACGTTAGTTGGGCATTCATCATCTCTGAGCAACAACATTCTACATAAGGCTGGTGGAGCATTCAGACTTCTCACAAGCAGCACAAAGATGGAGCTGGAAGCCATAAAACAAGATTTTCTCTGGATTGTTGAAAGCAATGAACTTCAAATAGACAGTGCTACCAACATAATATCTGCAGCTGACTCGCATGCAATACTACGTAAAATTTAGAGTGGGTGGTCTCTAGATGGATGACGGAAAGCAAAGCATCTGCATGGTAAGATCATCACTTGCATGTAAAAGCTACATTACCGAGTGATTCCCAATTTAAGAATTCGTATCTGCTATAATAGTTGACTCTTATGTTAACAGACTTTTCAAGTTACCGGGCTAAAAACATTAAGCAGGCTAGTTAAAAAAAAGGGTGCATTTCATTCTTTCCTACACGTTTTTTAATCGTGTCTTCTAATTGGCCAATTAAAATTATAATTTTGGTAAAACACTTGAATCAATTAGGTAGATTTTAAAACAGTTTTGAAAAGGAAATAAAAACAAACAACACGTTTCTTTTCATTCCACGCAGTCGTAACGGTCTTTAACTTTATAACTCTAGATCCAGCATGCACGTGCTAACAGCCTGACTCACGCTCGTTTAATGATCCACCAGAAGGAGCTGTCAGGATCTCCTCGTCTGTCCCGTTCCAATTCAATTAGGTCAACCAAGTCAGAGAAGTTGTATCCTTCTATGTTACAGCGATCTGATGAAGTGGACAATGGCTATTCAGGCAGTGCATCACTTGCTGGACATCCAGCTAGCAGTGGTCAGCCGAGCTCACCGAATACAAATTCGAACAACCAGGTAATGTAATCTACCTGTTATAAGAATTAGATTTTTACAAATCCAGAAATTTCAATAAATATCGCAAAACGTGTTTTTGTATAACTTGAAAAAATTGAAAGAAAAGTAACTTATAAAAAGGAAACTATTTGTTTAACATATTTTATTTGTAATCGCATGTTAGTCTTTTTTATTATTATTTTCATAGTACCTTGTATACAATGTCTTACAAATGTTTAAAGTTTCTGTGTATTCTTTTGAAAAACCTAAACTGATAGTACATGAAACAGCTTAGAACTAAATTTAAAAATAACGTGATTTTTAAGAACCTAAAGAACTTTTACCAGAGAAACCTATTCCCGAGCAACCCCAAAGTAAACTTTACTACAAATATTTAATTACTTATAAAATAAAAGTTCAAAACAAGCACTTTGCGTTGGTTATATACAACCTGCAATAAGCTGTAAAAGAATAATTAATTCAGATAGCTATAAGTAAAGAAAAAACATTTCAGATTTTGGCCCTGAGGGCAATCTAAATAATTTCTATCTTTGACGTAGGGTTTATTTGTTTGTTTGGAATTAAGCACAAAGCTACACAATGGGCTATCTGTGCTCTGCCCACCACGAGTATCGAAACCCGGTTTCTAGCGTTGTAAGTTCTCAGACATACCGCTGTGCCACTGGGGGGGGGGGCCTTGACGTAAGGTCGTAAATTGAAAAGATGTGAGGTAAGGAGGAAATAAAAGAACGAAAAATAAAGAAAACAATAAATACTTTCTTCATCAACAATATTTTGACAATATAAAATATGATTAAGTTGGGAAACGCTGCCTACATCGCTTCTGTAATTATTCGCTGCAGGAGGAAACAACTGAAATGTTATATTCCGGAAATGAAAACAATTTTGTTGATAGTTTGTAACTTTGGATTTTTGGATTTCACCTTGACTTTCGAAAATTGGAGGCATAGTTGAACATAATGTTTTTATTATGAGTATTCTTGTTCATCTTCACAAAATATTAAATATTTGATAATTACACTTAGATTTCCAGACGGTAAACAAGTTTCAACTATTGAGAAACATAATGATATTACGTATTTGTTAGAAGAGAAACAGCAGTTTTAGAGTTAAACAAAAAATACCTGAGAATAAATCTATATAATTATGACAGTACTGTCTGTTGTATGTCCATGTAACTACTTCGCAGGATGTAGATGGATCTTCACCAAAATTGGTATGGAGGTTCATTAAGTCCATGGGGAGAAACATATAAATTTTGAGTTTTGCGGTTTTAAGGGCATTTTTGCGTATTTTGTACACCACTACTTTGCTCCCTGTTGATGGATCTTCACCAAATTTAGTCTGGAACTTCATTGGGTCCATGCAGAGATACACGCAAATTTGCGGCTTCACATTTTGTGTTTTCCGGTTTTATGTGTGTTTTTGCATTGTTTACACTTACATGTAAGGGAAGCAACTTTTCATGTCCTAAGATATTTCATTAATCATGAATTTACATAAATTCTGTCCAGGGGACGGGTACTCCAGGTAGTTGGGAATAAATTAATAATTATTTACTGTTCAACGTATTGTGTCCCCCTGCGAATCATTGGTAAGTTTACGAACTTACAACTCTTAAAATCTAGAGAGCTCGATTCCCCGCGGTGGACAGAGCGCAGATAGCCAATTGTGTAATTTTGCGTTAAAAACAAATCAAAATTTTGTTTTTGCTTGTTTTTACATTTTATGTTGGTGATTATTTTTTATAGTATCTAGAAATACGCACTTGATTTCAGTGCTAATTTCTTATAGCATGTATAAGGATAATTGCTCTTGTATTAGATATGGCACCAAAAGAATTATACATATTATACTCTATGTGAGAGACAGCACTGTACTTAAGCACTGGTACATTACAAGATATCCGTATAACCTATTGAGAAAACAATTAACGTTAGTCTTGTATAGTTGAAGTAGTGGTGTGGCTGTAGACTTGTTTTGCTTACATGAAAAGTCATATTTAAATTTCAAATTTTGTAGAGTCAAATATAAATATTCTGTCATGTTTCTAAATTGTACGATTGTATTTTGCATTTAAGTTAAATTTTAAAATTTTATTAAGTTTTTTAATTGCACTCTAAATTCAAAATAAAGCAAGCAAGTTCTGAGCTTCAATTTTCTTTTATTTCTTTTTCGTACGTTCCCTATAAAGTTTTGTACTAAATCCATTTACCCATGTCAACATTAAACATGTTTATCTGTACACCAAAATCATAGTTTAACAAACATAACGTTTCACCTCTCGTTTACATGATTCGTACCGTCGTACATTCCCTATAAAATTTCGTATTAAATCAGTTTACCCATGTCAACATTAAATATGTTTATTTGTACGCCAAAATCATAGTTTTAACAAACATTACGTTTCCTCTGCCCCCTTCCCCCCCCCCTCCAACGGCACAGTGGTACGTCTGCGGACTTACGACGCTTCCGGGTTTCGATACCTGCAGTGGGCAGAGCACAGATATCCCATTGTGTTGCTTTGTACTTAACTTCAAACAAACATTACGTTTCACCTCTCGTTTACATGTTTCGTACGTTCCCCATAAAGTTTTGTATTAAATCAATTTACCCATGTCAACATTAAACACGTTTATTTGTATAACAAAATCATAGTTTTAACAAATATTATGTTTCATCTCTGGTTTACATGATTACATACTTAATTCGGTCGCTAAGTAACAACGCCTGTTCTGTATACAGTGAGAAATGGGTTAGCAAGAACTATTTCTGCGGAAGAACACATTGGAAACTCAAGATGAGACAAATTAACTCTACAGTACCAAAATCACATCACGTTTTGTTAAGAAGTTTTCGTGCAACATGTTATTATATCTTTTTTTTAAACAGAATCATTGTTGTTACTGTTGTCCTAACTTTCTTAGTGATACACTTAATAATGAATTGAGAGAAATGTGAACATAAGTAAAGGCTTAGTGTCATCAAATAATTTTCCAACCGTATTCTAACGAGAATTGCAATATTTTAACCGTTCATTTATATTTTGTCTTTGTTAGAACTAACATTTAGAGACGATAACAATACTGAGGTCTTGTGAAAAAAAGGGGAATTTTTTGTATATGTTTAACTTATATTTTCAGAAACAATAAATATAAGAATCAATAGAAAGCAATAAAGAGTGCTATTATTCACACTTTTCTAACGCTAGGGTACGCAACGCTACCTATTTCCTGTTTCTCCGGTCAATCCTTTACCACAGACGTCAAATGCCTCAGCAGTGCCATCTAGTGTCCGATTTTCAGGATCTATGCCTCATTACATGGGAGGAATGTTATCAAAAATCTCCAACAAAGAAGATGAAAGTAAGGTTTATTTTTCGTTAGTGTATCAAATGAAACATTGGTTATTATGCGATCGATGATTAATTAAAAGAAAATACCGAACTAATAAATATGTAATAATGTAAAGTATTGTATAAACATATTCAATATAACGATGATGTAAATTTTGCCAGTTGTTACATATGCATCATTAAACCAGGCACTAGGCTTAGCTGCATTAAAACAATTATGATTATTTATATTTATCATAAGTACGGTAGTACTTATATAGGAATGGGACGGATGCTGTACAAGCTATTTACTCATATCCATCTTTAACAGCCAAATATTAAATCTTCAAAAGTATTTAAGAGACACCCTGAGGTGATACACAAACCGCATACAAAAAGTCATTGAACCATTTGAGAAAGTTAGCAAAGCAGATACAAAAAATTCACAAAATCACAAATTTCTCCATCTCACTGACTGACATCATTGAACGCTACTAGCTGTGTAACAAACAGACTAGTAGTTAGGGCCTCACTTGACTGCCCAAAGGATGCCGCCTCAGTGGGGGGTCGCTAGGTGAGAAGAGATCAGAGGATGCCGCCCGTATACGTAATATACACATGACTATTACATAACTATTACGTAATATACACACCTGAGTGTAACATACCTATTACGTAATCGTCCGTCATGGCGGCCTAGCAATGCGCCCTCTGGTGACACTTTTGTGGAACTATGACGTCATCCTCTCTGGCGTCATGGCGGCCTAACAAAACGTCCCCACCAGCGCGCTCTCTGGTGACACTTTGTGGAATTATGACATCATCGTCTTAGATAGTATCGTCTCTACCCCCTTTCCCCCACACTCCCTGATACAGCCAATCAATGCATGGGTCTGAACTCTCGGGGTAACTACTCAACCATAGTTATAAGTGCACCAAATAGACCAATTGTACAGGGGCCACGTACTAGTGCTAGCGTTTTTCTATATTAAACATGGCCAAAAAGAAGAGGTATTTGATGTACATCAAGTAATATCTTGAACAAGAACGCCATTTTAAAATACATGTATCCACAAGCTCATTCAATATACTAAGTAGGTGTGGTCAAATAAAACAGTGAAGGGGTTTGACAAAATCTGCAAAAAATTGTGAGTGGTATGGGGTATGCCAAGTAGGGTGAGCCTTGAGAGAAGCTACACTGTCTATGCTAGAAGACAAGCTACGCTTTTTTGTAAGGAATTTATAATGTGTATTCTAAATTAAATCATGAAGCATTTAATACGTAGCATAATATTATGGTGCACACCCACACTGATTATATACATACAGGATATCAACATAAATGAATGAATGATACATAAGATCATGTCAGTTTGTATGAAAAAGTTAAAAAAGATTTTTAAAAAATTAAGGTGTAGGAATGGATTCACCAAAAAGTGAGGAAAAAGGTAGAAATGGGCATGGTGTAATAAATTTTCTTCTGTACAACCTCACAAGGGGGCGTGTCCAATATCTGGTCCATGCCTACTTCGTTTTTCTTTGTTTGTGATACTATACAACTTATGGGTACATACAAAAGTGTGTATGTGACTCTTCTATGTATGCACAGACAGTAACGAATCCATGACGTTCATATACAGAAAGCTATTACTATATTTTATCTTTGAATTTTTAGCTTGTGTACGAAATCCCGTTGACTTCTCATGCAATTTCAAAAGGAGGAATAAGTTGTAAAGAAAAAAAAGCATCCAAGTTATGGGTCCACACGAATATCTGATTATTCTGGTGTCATATAAACAGACTTTACGGTACATGTATTGCCTCTAATAATTCGATTCACATATACCACTCGTTATTGTATGATAAGCATGACCAAGTTTGGTAAGTTTAGTCCACCTGGCGTATTGTATACAGGATAGAAAGAATAAATGAAGTAAGCATGGACCTGATGTTGGACACGCCTCCTTGCGAGGTTGTACAGAGGAAGTTTTATTACACCATTGCCATTCCTACCTTGTTTCCTCACTTTTTGGTGCACCCACTCTTACACTTTCAATTTTAAAAAATCCATTTGTAAAACTTAGAAACTGTGCAAGTGTTCAGAGTAAGTTTTATTTTATTTCAGTGCATGGCTCATCTTTATCCGTTGTCTCTTCCACTTCATCTGTGTATTCAACAGTAAGTGACCGTTCACATATTATCATGTTTCCTAATTATTCAAGTTTCTTGCAAGATTTATATTATTTGCTGTACAACATATAGAACATAGCAAACCTAGAAACCGATAATTCGATTGTTTTCGAAAGACAGACCTTCCCTCCTTCCAGGAGAAAACACTTGGGTTTTCGCACTTCTTGTTTTAAGATTGATTTATTTTTTAACTTAACGTGGTTTGTCATTATTATGATAAGATACAGCAATATATTGTGAAGTAATGTTAATCTTATTCCTGAGCTTTTTAAATTAATTTATTAAAATAGTTTTAATTGTTTTAACCTAGATATATATAAACAGTGTTTATCGATTTAAAATTTAAACTAGTTACGTAACATTTATCCTTATTGGTTGACCATTTAGATAAACAAATTTTGTTTTAATTGAAATGTAATAATAATATTAACATTTAATATTAATATTCCAAACTTATAAATGCTTCGTAGGATTGCTAGGTTACAAAATATTTAGGATCTCTTGAGAAAAAATTACAATCGTCTTGTACAGTTGAGGCAATGTAACTAAGTTTTTTGTTGTTTTTTTTTGCATGAAAAATCGTATTTAAACGTCAAATTTTTATTTGTAAAGTTGAATTTAAATATTCTAGTTGCGAATTTATAATATTATGCTTTTAAATTTGAAAGTGTAGCCACGAATGTATTTTACATTTAAGTTAAATTTTGAAACTTAAAGGTTTTTTTCAAATTGCATTCTCGTTAAAAAGTCAGCAAACGAGTTCTGAAATTTTTATTTCTTTTTCGTACGTGTCCCTGTAAAGTTTTATACTAAATCAACTTACCCATATCAACATTAAATACAGTGTAAATATATTTTCCAATTTACTTATGCACATTTTTAATTCATGTATTTACTCCTAGAATTACATATTAGACTCCCGTTTCAAGTTAATCAGATAAAGTATATCCTTCCTTACGTCATTAAAGCCCATTTAGATAATTGTTATTATCCTTTCTGTAACTTATTTAAATTTTAAGCTCATAATCTAATGTTTATATGAACCACAAACAATCAATGATTCTATGTTTACATTAGTACTTGTTGATATTATGGTTCTAGCGAGCACAAAGTAATAATACCATTGTTTTAGAAATTGTGAATGGCACTCTGTGTTTCCCAACTTATTATTTTTAGAAGAACTCGCTTTGTAAAAATAATTCAATATTTAAATTAACACTTTATTTTTATAATAAATAACCTTCGTGTGTTATGAGTCAAATAACTGTGAAAAAATTCTGTCTGTGCGTTTCTACATATATTAATTAACTTTTATTTAGATTGTTTGGTCACTGTTTGTTACTTGATTATGTAGTGATTAATGCGTATTTAGAAAGATCTCAGAAACATTTATCGACAATATACGTTTTTGTATAATTTATTATCGTTTCCATAGGCTGAAGACAAACAGACCCAAGAGATTAAAAAATTAAAGAGGGAATTAGAACTTGCCAATGAAAAAATTGCTACGCTTACTTCCCAGCTGACCACCAACGTAAGTTTGTTTATATTTGTGTGTTTGCATATGAAATAGGAATAATTCGCGCCAGTGCACAACAAGTTACAAAAATTGTATTTTTTGGTTTTATCCATTATTCATATACCAAACTTTTTTTTTTTTTGCAATTAATTAGGTACATGGGAGTATCGCCCTGCCATCTGTTGACAGGTTCTGCTATTACTTATTTTGTAATGCGTCTGTAACACGTACGTTCGTGCAAGACCTTACAGAACACGTTAATTTGAGAAAGATAGCTCTCTAACCTATAAGTACATGACTATAAGATAAGCAATTTTCCGATGTTAAAGTAGAAAAGGGATTATGACAGACTAAAGATGACTGAAAAATTGTTTGAGTGAACTTCTGAGTTTAATATAATTTAAGTTAAAATAATTTATCTTTCTTTGTCGTTTTATTATTAATCTTATTATTTAAAGACGGTTTTATTGAAATTCCACTCATCAGAAAAAAGCACCTTATCTCTGCTAATAACTAATTCTAATAATGAATCATGATTATCAGCCACTAAAATAGCTTAAAGCTATTAAAGCTTTTCAATTATAAAATAAAAATAAAGAAAACCAAAAAAACGCACTTTAGTAATTTTGAACGTTATTTTTTCTTGATAATTAGTTTAATTTTATTTCTTTCAAAAAATATAACTAATTCGAGAAATAAAGTCATTGTTACATTTTAATCTCTTGTTTTTATTTATTATTTTTTCGAACCCTGAGTCATTGTTGTGATATAAAGATAAATATTACTTTATTTGTAAGTTCCTTATTCTTTCAGTAATTGGTCATCGATGTGCACGTGGCAATATTTGACATTATTTTCTTTGTAGAAATCATCCACTACAAGCTTTAGCTTGTTAATGTATTTTAGCTCTAGCAGAGGGCAGCACCTTCGAAGCAGTGAAGCAGAAACTTCACATTCGTTCGTTGTGTAACATGATTTTTTTTTTATTAAAATTGCCTAAATATTGGTTTTTAGACATTTTGAATTAAGGTATGTAAAATGGTGTGATATTTTTGTTGCTTTTTCAAACGACGAGAACGAGACTTAAGACTTATGCTTTTTTAAAATGAGGCTCCGTTTAATAATCATAAAAAGATCTTTTAGCGACACTTCATACAGAGTTTGTATATGAAACCTTTCAATTACTATAAGAACGAAACGAAATATTTGAATGAATGCATAAGCTCTTCTGTTCCAGGTTTAATGTATATTGTCAACATGTATTTAGTAATACCGTATAGCTCGTTGCTTAGTACAAATAAAGCAAAAAATAATTGTTACACTAATGATGATGCGAAAGAAGTAACGGGATACGTCATTGAATTACAAAGACAGTTGAATGTCAAGATGATTCCGTTAATATTGACAATTTTTACATACTAGTTTTCAATGCTTAAATCGAAGTTCTTTAAAATGAAAAACATTTTCAAGTATGTTTTTGTTTGTTTGTTGTTAACCACAAAGCTACACAATGGGTAACCTGCGCTTTGCCCACCCACCGCGGATATTAAAACCCGATTTATAGCGTTATATACCCACAGACTTACAGCTTAGACACTGGGTGGGGTAGAGGCTTCAAGTGCTTCTATTGGTAAGTTTTCTTATAACAACAGTTAACTCACTAGACTTGAGGTAATTTCAGCACTTTTATTATTAAGTTTTGTATAATACTGTATACTGTACCAGACTAAATAGTTCTACTGATAAGTTTTTATGTAACAACAGTTAAATCACTAAACTTGAGGTAATTACAGCAGTTCTATTATTAAGTTTTGTATAATACTGTATACTGTACCAGTATTATATTGTTATATAATATTAGATAACTTACTAAACTTTGAGTAATTGTAACAGTTCTATTATTGAGTTTTTATGTAATACTAAATAACTTACTAAATCTAGATTAATTGTAGTAGTTCTATTAGTGAGTTTTGTATAATATATAACTTAATAAACCTGGAATAATTGTAACAGTTCTGTTACTGAGTTTCATATAATATATAACTTACTAAACCTGAAGTAGTTGCAACAGTTCAGTTAATGAGTTTCATATAATATATAACTTACTAAACCTGAAGTAGTTGCAACAGTTCAGTTAATGAGTTTCATATAATATATAACTTACTAAACCTGAAGTAGTTGTAACACTTCTATTAGTGTATTGTTATATAATATTAGATAACTTACTAAACTTTGAGTAATTGTAACAGTTTTATTGTTGAGTTTTATGTGATCATAGATAACTCACTAGACATGGGGTAATTGTAACAGTTCTATTCATGAGTTGCTATATAGCAATAGTTAACTATCAGTCCATGGGTTATTGTTGCAGATGTCAGTGCATGTTTGTATAAACTAATTTGTTTAACAGCCCAGGGTTAAATGTAACAGTTCTATGCGAGTTTTTATACTAGATACCTTACTGGATCTTAAATAATTGTAGCATTTCTCTTTAATGAGTTCCATATAAATTAGTTGGTTTATCAGTCTAGGGGTAATGTAGAAACTTTATTACGGAATTCCAGTATGAGTTAACCTATCTGTCTGGGGCTTATTGTTTCACTTGTCTTTAGTAAGATTCTATATAAACCAGGGATAACTGTCATAGCTCTGCTAGAGAGTTTCTATAAAAACAACTGTGGGGTTATTAGACCTGATATAATTGTTACTGTTCCATTAGTGAGATTCTATTTAAAACTGGGATAACTGTTACAGCTCTGCTAGAGAGTTTCTATAAAAACAACCGTGGGGTTATAAGACCTGATATATTTGTTACTGTTCCATTAGTGAGATTCTGTATAAACCAGGGATAACTGTCATAGCTCTGCTAGAGA